CCTAATTCTTATCCTTACCCTTATTCTTACTCTTACCCTCACCCTTATCCTATTCTAAACTCTTATTCTTACCCTAACCCTTATCCTTATCCTTATCCTATTCTAAACCCTCATCCTTATTCTTATCCTCACCCTAACCCTTATATTATTCTAAACCCTTATCCTTACTCTTATCTAATTCTAAATTCTTATCTTTACCTTTACCCTTACTCTTATCCTTATCCTTACCCTTATATTATTCTAAACCCTTATCCTTATCCTTATCCTATTCTAAATTCTTATCTTTACCTTTACCCTTACTTTTATCCTTATTCTTACCCTTACTCTTACCTTTACTCTTACCCTTACCCTTACCCTTATACTATTCTAAACCCTTACCCTTATTCTTACTCTTACCCTCACCCTTATACTATTCTAAACTCTCACCCTTATCCTTACCCTTACTCTTACTCTTACTCTTACTCTTACCCTTACTCTTACCTTTACTCTCACTCTTACCCTTACCCTTATACTATTCTAAACCCTTACCCTTATTCTTACTCTTATCCTTACTCTTATACTATTCTAAACTCTCACCCTCACCCTTATACTATTCTAAACCCCTACTCTTACCCTTACCCTCACCCTTACCCTTATACTATTCTAAACCCTTACTCTTATATTATACTAAACCCTTACTCTTATACTATTCTAAACCTTTATCCTTTGCTAAAATAATGGGGAACCCTTACCTGCTAATTTCCTTAATTCCTAACTATATATAACCCCTTAATCCTGACTATTAAATATATTCCTAATTTAAACTTATATATTAATTTATATTCTAAATAATATTCTTACCCTAATACTTCTAATCTCCCCCCCTTGTACTATGGATCCTACCAAACTTTCTTATATTTTATTTTATAATTATTCTATTATTTATACTAATTCTCTATCCTAACTCTTATTACTAAATCCCTACTTTTCTTATATTAAATCCCTTTATTTCTATATTATTTAAAATCCTATACTCCATTTACTTTTATAAATCTGATTATTTATTTAACTTCTCTTTCTACTAGTTTATCTATTTTTATTTCTTAATTAATTCATATTATTATTTACTTTTCAAAATTTACTTATTACTAATTTTATCTACCTGCTATTTTACTTACTACTCTACTAAAAATTTTATAAACTGTTAACTAAAACTATCCTTTTAATATTTATAATACCTAATTTACTTACCTACTAATTATATATTATTACTAAATCTTAATTATATAAATATAATTTAAATTTTACCTAAACTAATAGATCTTCCTACTAATTTATAATCCTTAATACTACTTAAATACTAACTACTATTCTAGCTTATCTACTTATATATCTAATATATAATTATAGATGGCCCTACCCTGACCCTACTTAAAATAATATACTACTACTAAACTACTTAATATACTTACTATAATCTCTTACTCTTCCCCTAAACTAAAATATATTCCTTAAATTACATATAAACTTACTAATAAAACCTATATAATATTCCTATATCTAATTATACTTTAATAATTAATCCTTAATATCTGTAGTATATATATATCACTACTAATATTATATATCTACTACAGGCTAACCCTAAATGATTAAATAGTATAATATATATAAAATTACTATAATATATCCTTAATCTCCCTGCAAATCTGCCATAACCAACAAAATACTGCCTGGATCTCAACCCCTTGCCCATTGATGGTTCCCTGCCCCAAAAATGCTACTATTAATATAATCTGATATATATCCACAATATAGGGCTTAATGGCCTGCTAATTCCCCTTATTGGGGAACACTACACAGCCTTCAACAATCTGGCCATGTAAATGCCGCTCGAATGCGTCGCGTACGGCCTCCCCGTGCAGTCCATATAACATCCCGGCAATGGGTGGAACCAACACACCACACCATGTACATGGCTGGCGGGCCTGCCACCCTAAACAAATAGATTAGGGCATGCCACATGTATAACAACACCAGAATGGGATATAATCTACCTGGGACCAGACCTGGATCATCCACTACTTAGTGGCCTGGCTGTCGGGGTGTCGGCATGAATATAACTCATGGTCACTATCCCAGCCAGTGGTGGTGCAAATATAACACTGATTCAACCATATCCAGGCTTCTTACTCAATGAATTCATGGTCAATTCCAGCCTGCATGGCCCTGGACTGCTGACGGATGGCCGCCGGGGGGTATTGCGGACGGGGTGGAATGGCTGCCAGCATGGGGGCTGCCGCGTGGGGGCTACTTCCACGCCTAAACCCGGACCCGGGGGGCACCTGGGACATGAACGAATCGTCTGTCTGAATGGATACCGTGCGGGTGACTGGACGGGGGGCGGACAGGGATATGGGTGGTGCCAATTGGGTGGGTGATAGGGATGGTAGTACCCTAGATGTTGAGCCGGGGGCTACTAGGGTTGGTGATGTTGGGGTGGGACTAACTGGCTCCTGCGCTCCCCACTTGGGATCGCATGCATCGCACGGTAACTCCCCTGGATCAACATCCTGGCACTGCTGCCAGGAATACCCATTAATAGTCCCGTCCAAGTACTGGTCTAACACATACCATCGACATGAAACCCCCTGGACCTCCATATACCGCTGCACATGCTTGAAATCGGCCTCGGCAACCCAGTCGATCCATGGATCTAGGCTATCCCACCCCTGGGGCTGGATAATGATGGCTTCGCTGGCAACGCCATCACGCCCAGCACGGCCACTTTCCTGCCCGTAATCTAACAACATTCGCGGCTGGCCAATATGAATCACACACCAGATATCGGGGATATCAATCCCCATGCCTAATGCACTGGTGGCACTGATGACCTGGGTCTGGCCGGCCTGGAACCGCTGCATGACCCCGGCTCGATCTAACACCGCGCTGTGGTACGGCTCACACCCGATTTCCCGACTGATGGCCTCCACCTGACTCTTGATATTGGCATATATAATGACCCGGCCGCCACGGGCCTGGCAGATGCGCGCCTGGATGAAACCAATCACCCCGGGGGTGGTCAACCACTAGTGCGGCTCCTGGGGCACCCCATGCGGCAATATCAGCCAGTGCACGCGGTATGCCACGTTTGGATGGCTGGTCTGGCTGCGATATATGCCGACCTCACTAGGCCAGTGCTGGATCTGCTGCAAAAACATGGCTTCGCTAGATAGGGGCAACGTGGCTATCAAATATACCATCTGTGTGTGGGCACTGGCCAATCAGCCTAACCAGGCCATGGCAGGCCAGAAATCCTTCTGCGGGTTCAATATCACATAGCATTCATCAATAACAATCCGGTCCAGCCACCGCAGCAACCACTGCCAGTTCAAAAACGTGTGGAAATCAGGGTTCTTGGTGGATTCAGGCATGACCAGCACAATCGCAGCTTCATCAGGGGGGTGGCGGCTTTCCCATGACACACAACAGATCCCCAGTATCTGGCACCGCTGCATCAAATCGGCTCGCAACAAAATTAACGGGACGACCACAATGGTGCAACCCCCCAGGGCGGCATATGTGGGCAACATGAACAACATGCTCTTCCCGCCCCTAGTGGGCATGATGGCCACGACCGGGCTGGCACCATCCTGGATAGCTTTGATAGCTGGCCCCTGCACCCCATGGAATGTAATCTCCTGCCCGGTCATGCACTGCAATACCTGCTCCAAATTGGCCGCCTGCAACTATGCCTGCCGCTGGACCTGGTGGTCCACCGCCTGTTCCTCCCACGGGTTCTCCCACTTGCCTAATACAGGGTGGTCCTCCCGAGTAAACCCTAAAAATCAGTACCAGTCCATGCTAGATGCCCGGAATTTTAACTGCCGCGTGGTGGTGCTGCCTTTGAACTCGGTCACCTCCCAGCCGTATATCATCCCGGCCACATGGGGGGTGTGGCTGGCCTGCTCATCCATAATATTCCTGATCTTGTTGGGATCCTCATCTGCCTCTATGGTGGCCATCTCCTGCTCCCGCTCAACCTACATGTTGTTCGGGAATGCGCTGGATGGGCGTAAAAAACAATAGCTGATACCTACTGCGATATCCCAATAATGGGCAATATTGAGTGGGTATGATAACCCCATGCTGGTCCAGCTCTCCTGCTTCAACACCTCGCGGAACCGCTCACTGGTCCAGTCCCAACCACTACCAACGTCAGGTCCCCATAATCTCGGGTTGTGGTAGTGACTGGGGTGGTAGTACGGGCATTAGTCAGCATGGAATACCGCCAGCTGTCGCACAAATAGTAACACCAACCATAAATACCACACAACCAACTCGCCAATCACCTGGGGTAAATACTGGTGGATGATCTTCACATTATTGCTAGCATGGAATCCTTTATGGTATGTAGTAACAAATACCACCATACCATCCTCAATATATATATTTCGGCGCTGGTTAGTCTTGGTATTCACGTGCTAGATACTTAATAACTCTGGGGCTCGCGCAGGTGCCCTGCCAGTCAAATGCACAGCCACCACCAGCTTCTCCTTGAACTAGGCCACCTGCTGGAAATACTTCTGGATCTTGGGGCCGCTGACCTCCCCCTGGGTGGTAAAGGTGCAGGCCATGGCGGGTTCCTGCACAATCCAGTCCAGCAGCCAGCTGCACCCAGCCACGGGCCACCGGGTCCGCGCATCCTGCAAAAAACTCCAGCCAGGGGTGGCTTCAGTGGGGTTGTCGAATAACTGATCCCATGGAATGGCGGGCCATTGATCTGGATTGGGTTAGCATAACAACCCCGCCATGAACTCCCGCGCGGCCCTGACCAAGCCATGCACGAACCCCTAGAACTCGCCCATGGTGAAACTCATCTCCTTATATAACAACCACTCCTGTCCCATCCAGGTCACATGCCCGGGGGCGGTGGTGTTGTAATGAATCTTCAGCCTGAAGGTCCGCCAATCCAGCAACACCTCCACGGGCCCGTGCTGGCCACGGACCATGAATTGCTGGACCATCCAGTCCACTCCAGCTTGGAATGGCATTCCCTGGGTTCGGGGAATCCAGTAGATGAGGGCCGTGGGCGGGCTGAGCAGGCTGGACAGTGGGCTAGACAGGGGGAACACAACAGGGGTGTTGGGTCCCTCCACATACCCTTCATCGATGATGAACCCTAACTCTTCATCTACAGCATCCCCCATCCATGACCCTTGCTCTGCGGCCGCGGCCCACATGCGGATAATCTCCATATACTGCGGATCCAGCCATAATGCTTTCTGCACAAGCATGAAGCGCGCCACTTTCAACACCCGGGAAATGATGGGCGGGTAACTCTCAGGGCCCCGCCAGGTCACCTCCCCCCAACCTAACATGGCCATGGCGCAGATTAACAGGCTCTCGTACTCGTGGACCTTGATCTTCTGGTTTAGCAACTCAATACAAAACTCCAAGCATGCGGTCTCGATTACAGTCATAATAAATGGCTGGACTGCGGGGGGCTGATCCTCAACCTCCATGGGGTCGGGACTGCGCCGGGATTCCTGCATGGCCATCTGCCATAACTGCTGCCATGTTTTCTGCTGCCGGGTGGTCATGATATACCGCGGCTGCTGCTTCCACGGCCAGTCTGTCTGCGTGTGGATGATAAACAGTAAAATCTGCTACCATAACCAGACATGGTCTTGGATACTCTTCTCGTCCATATACGCCCGCAATGGCTGGTACGGGGTCTAGTGCGGCATGGTGCGTATGGCGGCCATTCGGATCCCATTCCCACACTGCTTTACCATGTGCTGGCTGCGCCAGGCCAGTGACTCTATAGCATCCCATACTACGCGCGTGGCACCGCTCACAGGGTCCTCCAGCTCGGGATCGGGAGTGGCCACCACCGCGAGCAGGTCCGGAATATGCACATCAGCTAAATACCGGGCCCAGCGGGTCATGCGCAGCCATGGATTGGCATCCTGGAGCTCCCCGGCCTGGACAACCTGGGCGGCTGCCTCCTGCTCATCCGCTGCCGCCCGCGCCTTGATCTCCGCGACCAGCTGCTCGTGGGTGGTGATTGGGACGGGTTGCTCCTCAGGCTGGGGATCATGCGATGGGATATGCACTAAATGGGAGTTTTTCCAGCTGGGGAATACCTGCTGCCAGGCAACTAGGCGGAATGATTGCTGAAGCTGGATCTACTGCTTCTCCCGCTCCCGGGCAGGAATCCCTCCATGGAACTGGTGCTGGGTCCAACCATGCACTTCTTTCCAGTGGTTTCGCATGGATTTAATGCTGGTAGTAATATACATACATTGCTCCAGTCCCTTACCATGGCCATACTAGCATAACAGCCTGTTGGTATAAATAGAGATAATGGGAACTGGCGTGTCCAGCACATGGGGAATATATAAATTGTCTAGCTGCTAGATAATCCCCGCCCAGCCAGCCACTACCTGAGCAATGGGTTGACTATCCCATGGCTTGAGGAAATGCTTCTTCTGCAGGTGTATTGCAACCTCCTTAGGATAAACACCATGCTGGTACTGGCGACATACAATAATTTGCAGCATAAGGATCTTCTCAAATAGCTGGTATTCCATAATGGAATGTAGATAGGTAGCAGCCAGGTATAGATAAAAATATAATATTAGATAGGAAAACTAATAGAAATACTTAGAGGAATTGAAGTTTAACTAGGCTTTTTAGCTAGACAAGCCCCTAATTATTTAGTTTACTGGTACAACTGATCTATCACTGCTGTATACAGCCATCCAAGTCTATCCCCCACCAAATCTTCAATGGAACCCTAACCAACTTTAACACACCACCATATATTTACCTGATGCCTACAGGCTCTAAAACTTGGGAATCTATAATTTAAGTGGCCAATCTATATCTGGTAAAAATTTGAGCTACAACATGCAACAGGTTCTACAGGCACCCTACTCCTGAAAATTGAGCCACCCTACGATAAGCCAACCAATCAGCGCTGGTCCTCCGCAAAACCCTAGAGCCACCCTAGTAGCCTTCCTCAACCCTTGTGGGATAGAGAATACTACACAGCCTTTAACAATCTGGCCATGTAAATACCACTTGAATGCATTGCATACGGCCTCCCCATACAGTCCATATAATATCCCGGCAATGGGTGGAACTAACACACCACACCATATACATGGCTGGCGGGCCTGCTACCCTAAATAAATAGATTAGGGCATGCTACATGTATAATAACACCAGAACAGGATATAATTTACCTAGGACTAGACCTAAATTATCCACTATTTAGTAGCCTGGCTATCAGGGTATTAGCATGAATATAACTTATAATTACTATCCCGGCTACTAGTAGTATAAATATAACACTAATTTAACCATATCTAGGCTTCCTACTCAATAAATTCATAGTCAATTCCAGCCTGCATAGCCCCGGACTGCTAACAGATGGCTGCCGGGGGGTATTACAGACAGGGTAGAATAGCTGCCAGCACAGGGACTACCATGTGGGGGCTACTTCCATACCTAAACCTGGACCCGGGGGGCACCTGGGACATAAACAAATTATCTGTCTGAATAAATATTATGCGGGTGACTGGATAGGAGGTAGACAGAGATATAAGTAGTGCTAATTAAATAGGTAATAGGGATGATAGTACCCTGGATATTGAGCTAGGGGCTACTAGGGTTAGTAATATTAGGGTGGGACTAACTAGCTCCTATACTCCCCACTCAGGATCACATGCATTACATGGTAACTCCCCTGGATTAATATCCTGGCACTACTACTAGAAATACCTATTAATAGTCCTATCCAAGTACTAGTCTAACACATACCATCAACATAAAACCCCCTGGACCTCTATATACCACTGCACACGCTCAAAATTAGCCTCAGCAACCCAGTTAATCCATGGATCTGGGCTATCCTACCCCTGGGGCTAGATAATAATAGCTTCACTAGCAATACTATCACGCCCAGCGCGGCCACTTTCCTGCCCATAATCTAATAATATTTGTGGCTGGCCAATATAAATTACACACCAGATATCAGGGATATCAATCCCCATGCCTAATATATTAGTAGCACTAATAACCTGGATCTAGCCAGCCTGGAACTACTACATGACCCCAGCTTAATCTAATACCATACTATAGTATGGCTTATACCCAATTTCCTAACTAATAGCCTCCACCTGACTCTTAATATTGGTATATATAATAATCTGGCCGCCACAGGCCTGGTAGATGCGTGCCTGGATAAAACTAATCACCCTAGGGATGGTTAACTACTAGTATGGCTCCTGGGGCACCCCATACAGTAATATTAGCTAGTGCACGCAGTATGCCATATTTGGATAGCTGGTCTAGCTGTAATATATGCCAATCTTGCTGGGCTGGTGCTGGATCCACTGCAAAAACATGGCTTTGCTAGATAGGGGTAACATAGCTATTAAATATATTATCTGCGTGTGGGCGCTGGCTAATCAGCCTAACCAGGCCATGGCAGGCCAGAAATCCTTCTGCAGGTTCAATATTATATGGCATTTATCAATAATAATCTAGTCTAGCCACTACAGCAACCGCTGCCGGTTCAAAAATATGTGGAAATTAGGGTTCTTGGTAGATTTAGGCATGACTAGTATAATTATAGCTTTATTAGAGGGGTAGTAGCTTTCCTATAATATATAATAGATCCCTAGTATCTAGTATTATTGCATTAAATCAGCTTATAATAAAATTAACAGGATAACTATAATAGTATAACCCCCTGGGGTAGTATATACAGGTAATATAAATAACATGCTCTTCCTATCCCTGATAGGCATGATGGCCATGATCAGGCTAGTACCATCCTGGATGGCTTTAATGGCTGGCCCCTGCACCCTATAGAATATAATCTCCTGCCTGGTCATATACTATAATACCTGCTCTAAATTAGCTGCCTGTAACTATGCCTACTGCTAGACCTGGTAGTCCACTACCTGTTCCTTCCACAGGTTCTCCTGCTTACCTAATATAGGGTAGTCCTCCCAAGTAAACCCTAAAAATTAGTGCTAGTTTGTACTGGATGCCCAGAATTTTAACTACTACATAGTAATATTATCTTCAAACTTGGTCACCTCCCAGCTGTATATTATCCCAGCCATATAGGGGGTGTGGCCAGCCTGCTTATCCATAATATTCCTGATCTTGTCAGGATCCTTATCTACCTCTATAATAGCCATCTTCTACTCCTATTTAACCTGCATATTGTTCAGGAATGCGCTGGATAGGTATAAAAAATAATAGCTAATATCTATCATGATATCCTAATAATAGGTAATATTAAGCAGGTATAATAATCCCATGCTAGTCCAGCTTTCCTGCTTTAATACCTTGCGGAACTACTCACTGGTCCAGTCCTGGCCACTGCCGACGTTAGGTCCCCATAATCTCAGGTTGTAGTAGTGACTAGGGTGGTGATGTGGGCATTAGTTAGCATGAAATACCACTAGCTACTGCATAAATAATAACACTAACTATAAATACTATATAACTAACTCGCCAATTACCTGGGGTAAATACCAGTAAATAATCTTTATATTATTACTAGCATGGAATCCTTTATAATATATAGTAATAAATACTACCATACCATCCTTAATATATATATTTTAGTACTAGTTAATCTTAGTATTCACATACTAGATACTTAATAACTCTAGGGCTTGCACGGGTGCCCCCCTAGTTAAATATATGGCTACTGCTAGCTTCTCCTTAAACTAGGCCACCTGCTAGAAATACTTCTAGATCTTGGGGCTACTGACCTCCCCCTAGGTAGTAAAGGTGCGGGCCATGGCAGGTTCCTGCATAATCTGGTCCAGCAGCTAGCTACGCCCAGCCACAGGCTACCGGGTCCGCGCATCCTATAAAAAACTCTAGCTAGGGGTAGCTTTAGTAAGGTTATCAAATAACTAATCCTATAGAATAGCAGGCCATTAATCTAGATTAGGTTAGCATAATAACCCCGCTATAAACTCCCGCATAGCCCCGACCAAGCCATGCACGAACCCCCAGAACTTGCCCATGGTAAAACTTATCTCCTTATATAATAACTACTCCTATCCTATCTAGATTATATACCCAGGGGTAGTGGTGTTATAATAAATCTTCAGCCTAAAGGTCCACCAATCCAGCAATACCTTCACAGGCCCGTGCTGGCCACAGACCATAAATTGCTGGACCATCTAGTCCACTCCAGCTTGGAATGGCATTCCCTAGGTTCGGGGAATCTAGTAGATGGGGGCCGCGGGTGGGCTGAGCAGGCTGGATAGTGGGCTGGACAGGGGGAACATAATAAGGGTGTTAGGTCCCTCCACATACCCTTTATCAATAATAAACCCTAACTCTTTATCTGTAGCATCCCCCATCCATAACTCTTGCTCTGCGGCCGCGGCCCACATGCAGATAATCTTCATATACTACAGATCTAGCCATAATACTTTCTATATAAGCATGAAGCGCGCCACTTTCAATATCTAGAAAATAATAGGCGGGTAACTCTTAGGGCCCCGCCAGATTACCTCCCCCTAACCTAATACAGCTATAATGCAGATTAACAGGCTCTTATACTCGTGGACCTTGATCTTCTAGTTTAGTAACTTAATACAAAACTCCAAGCATGCAGTCTTAATTGTAGTTATGATAAATAGCTGGACCGTGGGGGGCTGATCCTCAACCTCTATAGGGTCAGGATTATGCCGGGATTCCTACATGGCTATCTACCATAACCACTACTATGTTTTCTACTACTAAGTAGTCATGATATACCGCGGCTGCTACTTCCACAGCTAGTCTATCTACGTGCAGATGATAAACAGTAAAATCTGCTACTATAGCCAGACATGGTCTTAGATACTCTTCTTATCCATATACGCCCGCAATAGCTGGTACAGGGTCTAGTGCAGCATGGTGCATATAGCAGCCATTCAGATCCTATTCTCGCACTACTTTACCATGTGCTGGCTACGCCAGGCTAGTAACTCCATGGCATCCCATACTACGCGCGTGGCACCACTCACGGGGTCCTCTAGCTTAGGATCAGGAGTAGCCACCACCACAAGCAGGTCTAGAATATATACATTAGCTAAATACCAGGCCCAGCAGGTCATGCACAGCCATGGATTAGCATCCTGGAGCTCCCTAGCCTGGATAACCTAGGCAGCTGCCTCCTGCTTATCCACTACCGCCCGCACCTTGATCTCCGCGACTAGCTGCTTGTAGGTAGTGATTGGGATGGGTTGCTCCTTAGGCTGGGGATCATGCAATGGGATATATACTAAATAGGAATTTTTCTAG